GGGACTATCATAACTAAAATCTTAATACATGAAAAAAAAAAACAACTTTTTTTTAACTTTTATTTAATGTTTACAATGCAAATCCAATTAGAACCAATAATTTGGGAAACAAAGCACGTCTCTTAAATAATATATCTACAACAAGATCAAAAATATTACTTAAACTGTATCTGAAGGTTTTCATATCAGTCAATAATATTACTGAAATTATTTTAAAAACAGAATTAATATATTAATTCATATTTTTTTTCTTAATATTTTTTTCTAGATTTAAGTAGATTGAACATAAAACAATCAAGTTACCCCCCCCCCCCAAAAAAAAAATAAATAAATAAATAAAAATAATAAATAAATAAATAAGTAAATATTGAAAATATATAATGAAAATAAATAATGAAAACAAATAAAAATAATTGTGGTAATTGTGGTAATAATAGGTGGTTTGAACAAACAAGAAGTATTTTTGTGTATTTATTTATTTATTTATATGATTTTTAGGTATTTTAATGTATTTATTGTATTTTTATCCTGCTGTATATAAAACTGATTCTGCAAATTTGTTGCAAACAATTTATATGGGTTGAGTTTAAACAAACAAATTAAATGTAGTAGTAAATTGGGTAGGCTAAATTGTCCGTAGTGTATGAGTGTGCGTGTGAATGTGTGTGTGGATGTTTCCCAGAGATGGGTTGCGGCTGGAAGGGCATCAGCTGCTTAAAAACTTGCTGGATAAGCTGGCGGTTCATTCCGCTGTGGCGACCCCGGATTAATAAAGGGATTAAGCTGACAAGAAAATGAATGAATGAATGATTAAACATACTGAACCAACTTTAAAATCGAGACCGAATCAAAACCTTATTTATTTATTTTTTTATTTTAAGTCAAATTTCTTTCTAGTCTTGTTTACTTCTGGCAAAAAAGGGGAAAATTACTATACCTGATAAAGTTCTGTTAAAGGTTGCTTAGTGCAAAAAGTATTTTTTTTTTTACCCAGAATGATAACAATGTAAACATGTTCTCCCAACGCTCTCGAACCTCCTGAAAATAAGCACAAAAATAATACCGCAAGCGCACCTGCCATTGTGAAAACCATTAGGGCCCATTTAATACACTGCTGCTAATTAAAACGCCTAATTATCCAATCCAATTATCAACTTTCTACAGTTTAATCTTAAAAGTTTTCAGTACAGAAGATCAAACCGAACATTTTATAAAACCACATACATGATTGAGAGTACCAAAACAAACTAATTAGACAAAAAATCCAAAAAAAAAAAGATTAATATTGATATAGCGATCAGGCAAGAGGTGTCTTTGTTGAAACTTCAGAAATATTCAGGACAGTCATCTGCATGAACTATATATACGTTTCTCCCACTCTCCAAACTCACACTGATTGGGTCGAGCAGGTCAATATCATCATCTGACGGCCAAACGCTTTGATTCGAGAGGGCATTCAGAGGTTTGATTTCTCTCTCTATTTCTCTCTATGAATGTGGAAGTGATCATAATATTGCCTGTTCTCTTTCTGAAGAAGAGAGTCTGTGATTTTTTAGATATTTGGACTAGAAACAAGACAAAAAAATCTAAGTGAGAAAAGTATTTTTGCAGTGAAGTTGTGTGCAAAGTGACCTGCATTGGGTTTCCAACCATTGAAATGGTTTAGATTCAGTGATTAAGTCACGGAGGAAGCATTGAAATTCTAAAATCTTCAAGACTGAACCATTTATGGCTTTAGAAATCAAAATGACAAAGTAAAAGTGTATTAACAATCCCAAGAATTATTGTACATCAAGAGTTTCTGGCGAGCAAACTATGGAAAAAATTATATTTTAAAATTATATCATAGCTGAGTATGATTTCCTGCTTTGATAGAAGGACATTAGCTATGTTTCCATCCAGAAATGCAAATGGAAATTATGTGCAAAACTGGATTATCGTATAAAAGACGTGTGAATAAAGCAACGTTTCCATCTAACAAGTCAAAGTGAACAAAATCATCACTTCCTGATTATCTGACGCCAAATATCAACGGTAAAAATAAAATTTGCTGCGATAAGAGAAGCTGCGTGAATCTTTTCTTCATTTAATAAATAACTTGTGCCACAGAAGACAATCCTGACACAGTGAACAGTGAACACGCAGTGGTGTTTGAAGGCATTAATAATATAATAACACTAATACTGAGATGGTCAAGGCATTTTAGAATGGTTTGTCCATTCACACACATTTTTATCATCTCAAAATCTCTTATAACCAAATCACATGACCTTTTTTTAATACACATACTGGAATTTGTTCGGTAAAAGTGTTTTCATTGTAGTTTATGTGCATCTTTTCTTATCGATTAAAAAGTTCATCTAACCCAGTTATGCGCATATGTTTTTTATGCAGATTTTAAAAACTTATGCGCATCTCAGCATTTCAATCAGTCGTTTTTTTTTATTTATTTAATTTAAAAATTTAGGTGGATGGAAACATAGCTACTGTCTTCTGCTAATCATCTTCAAACAGAAAATAGTATTCAGTGTGACCAATCTTTGTTTTTTAAATCTGAGAAAATATTGGTTGAACTAACAATTTACTCATGAAGCCACAATAAAATCCCTATATCTCTGGAAATTATATATATATATATATATATATATATATATATATATATATATATATATATATATATATATATATATATATATATATATATATATATATATATAGTTGAAGTCAAAATTATTAGCCCCCCTTTGAATTTTTATTTTTATTTTAAATATTTCATAAATTATGTTTAGCAGAGCAATGACATTTTTTTACAGTATGTCTGATAATTTTTTTTTTTCTGGAGAAAGTCTTTTTTCTGCCAGAATAAAAGCAGTTAGTTTTTATTTTATTTTTATTATTATTATTATTTTAGGGACAAATTTATTAGCCCCTTTAAGCTATCTATTTTTTCGATAGTCTACAGGACAGACCATCGTTATACAATATTCTTTTGTTTCATGGTTATGTTCAGAGCATAGGCTGCTTTATAGAAATAATCAAAATCAAAGAAATATAGTTCTTTTTAAGTTAAATGACTCTTTATTCAGAAATTAAAATTGATTTTAAACCGATTTAACAGATTTTGAATTTGTTTTAAAATCTTTAAAATGTTTTAGTTCTTAGTTTTTTTTTTCCCTATACTTAGTTTAACTTGTATTTTAAAAACCTGTTTTAACACATTTAACCACTTTTTATTTCATTTAATTCTTTTTTTTCATTTTTTATCCTTATTATCCATTATTTTGCTTCTTTTATTCTTGTTTATGTAAAGCACTTTGAATTATTATTGTGCTTAAAATGTGTTTTATAAATGAACTTGCCTTATCTAATATACACTATAATAGCCAGCACAAAAGTAATAATCTACAAAATGAGTGACAATTTATTTTTGCACTATTCAAATGAATGATCATTTAAGAAACACAGTTCCCACCTCTAAATCTGATCTTACATTCACAGCATAACACGGATGGTCCATTCATTAGTGGTCATTACTAGTCCATTAGTACTGGACTTAATTTCCGAGAATCGCATCTTGCTTATTATGCGGAACAAAACAACCTCTCTCTTTTCTTGGAAAATATGTTTATCAAATGCCTCTCCATTGCCTCGCTGCACTCATCTGGATGTGCTGTTCATATAACAACACATCATTTTCTGAATAAAAAACACATATTTAATCTATCAAACAAGCAAACAATCAGCCATCAGCAGCACTGTGAAATGTTAGTGCTTTTCTTCTGTCAGAATATGTTTTAAATGTAATGTATTTAGCCTGAATATTAAGCATCAATACTCCTGTATTTAGTGTCACGTGATCTTAAATCCTAGAAAATACTCTCATACACACATATACTACGGATAGTTTAGCTCACCCAGTATAATCTCACTTATAGCAGACAAATGAAGGAATGAATGAACAAATGGAAGGAACAGACAAAAGGACAATCCAATGAACAAATGAACAAATGTTGTTTTTGTAGTTGGGGGAAAGTTGTGGGGCTAATGGTTAGGCAGTTGGACTTGTAATCAAACGATTGCAGGTTCCTGGTCCCAGCAGGAATTCAATGACGGAGGGAGTGAATGAACTGCACTCTCTCCATCTTTGAGCCCCAGCTGAGGTGCCCCTGAGCAAGGCACCGAACCCCTAATTGCTCCCCAGGTGCTGGAAGCAATGGCTGCCCAGTGCTCCAGGTGTATGCTCACCATGTTTGTGTGTGTGTGTGTGTGTGTTCTCTCTTCTCGCTCAAACGTGCGTGTGTGAGTTGGATGGGTTAAAAGCAGAGGACCAATTTCAAGGATAAAACCATACTTGACAAGGTTCATTTGCAATTTCATCATACTTATCTTTATTCACAGTGAGTTAATGTCTCTTCTAAAAAATCTAATGCATCCGTGCAGAAAAAATGTATTAATTTGTAAATAAATAAATAGATAGTTTTAATAATAAACAAGCAAACAAACAAATAAACAAACGCAACACTGAAGTATGCATTTTTAACTATTTTCTTTAGAATCCTATTTATTTACAAAACAAATAAAGAAACACATTTGTTTATTAAGTAAATAAATAAATAAATAAATAAATAAATAAATAAATATAAATAAATAAATAAATAATTTAATTAATTAATTAATTAATACATTCTAAAGTATGGATTTAAAAGAAAACCGCACTGAGAGTTTGCAGTTCGACAAAACCACAGCACAAAATCTTTTTGTAAAAATGAAATAAAATAAAATAAATTAAAATAAAAAAAAATTCTAAACTATGTAGTGAAAAACATATTTTACAATTTATTTATTTATTTATTTATTAAATAAATGACCGAAAAAATAAACAAATAAATAAATAAATAAATAAATAAATAAAAGCCAAACAAACAAACCCAATTCTAAACTATGTAGTTTAAAATCAAACAGCAGCGAGTTTGTACAACACACAATCCGCTGGTTCTTACCTTTGTAGAAGCATTCGTCGCTGTGCATGATGGTTATTCTCTGATGGGCCAGACAGGAGGCTCTGTGGAGCTCACAGTGGTTCTGGTACAGTTTCCCGTCAGATCCGCACACAGGTTTGTAATGTGGTTTGCAGCGCTCCAGACATTGACACTCTCCTTCACCTGTTTCTCTGTCCACCACACAATGTTTTCCCAAACCACAGTACTTATGTTCACAGGGCCCGGGAAAACCAGTCTGACCAAGAAACCCTGACAAAACAGGTCAAAGAGAACAAAAATCATGTCAATTCATAAAATATTACATAGATATTATGAAACATGCCCTATATTTGAACAATTTCAGGTCACACTTTATTTGTAGAGCCTATTTTAAGAAATTTACAATTTCTGAGAGAGCTCGTTGACGGCCATTAGCCTGCCATAGTGAAGTAGACCAAAGACTGTTGAAGTTTTCTATCGACAAGTTAGCGACAGAACCGCATAATAAGCCCTTACACTTAGAAGATTAGTCTGAATTCTAACTACAGCAGATCAAATCATTACTAAACTGGTAAGCAAACCTACCAACACTCCCGTTTTATACTGGGAGTATCCTGTATTTCAGAACAATTTCCCGAAACTATCCCGTTTTTTATTTCTTCCTAAAAAGTCCCTTAATTTCACCCACCCCCCTTTTTGGTAAAGTCTGTAAACACTCCCGGGTTGCCAACTTTAGTATATACCCAATCGTAAGTGGCCACCCAAAACCCGCTGCATCCTATCCTGGGGGCTGTTCCAGAAAGCAGGTTATGTGACATACCCGGGTAAGTTTGAGAGTAAGTAGGTGGATAACCTCAGCTTTGGTTCCAAAATCGGAGGTAACTTCTGGGTATAGTAAGTAGCCATAGCAACTCTCTCTCTGAGGATAACCTGCTCCGGAGCAGGTTATGTTCAGAGTAAGTTGCTATGTTCCAGAGTTTGTCTGCTTCAGAGAGTTTACTGAGCATTGCGTGCTCTTTTGATGAGAAATATTTATGGACGTAGAAGCACAGATACAAGTTTTTTCTTTATGAGAGAGGTTATAAGTGCATAGTTCTTTTCATAACCAAATTTATAATGTATATTTTCAAAAGAATCGTTAATGTATTTAACAATTCTTTTAAAATCAAATGTGACTCCTGTAATTAAATATTACCTTTTAGGATAATGTGTTTAATGACTTGGGACAGAGTTCTAGCTCCAGAAAGATTGCAATTTCTATAAGTCTTATTAGTCAATACACATTTGTATTGTGGCCTTAAGAAATTAACGGCAATAAAAATAAATGCATGAATGGTTACACAACATATTCAAAAAGGATGTTAAAGAGAAGTTTAATGTTTCATTACAATAAAATGGAGGGTGGCATGTGTAATTTAATGAACTAACAAACTTTCTTATTTATTTATTTTTTTCTTATCTAGGTATTATCCTATATTTCTTTCCTTCGCTAATGCAGATGTGTAATCTCTGTGATTAAAACCCCCAGCTTCGCCTCTGTAAAGTGGGTTGCCCTTTTTTCTCACCGTGACTTTCTATAGTGACTCGTGAATTCGGGGATCTACTGAAAATGCCTTCAGGTTTGTGCCGTGCACGCGCATTAACCCGCGGTTATCTTCAGGAGGTTGATTTAACTAACTCTTATCACCTGTTTTGGAACCAACATTCTCGCGGTAAGCATGTTTGGGGTAAATCAACCGAAAGTTCAGGGTTTAGCAGATGGTAAGTTAACCCAGCTTTCTGGAATACCCCCCTGGTTCTTAACAATCGATTTACAGCATCGATGCTGTAATGTAATTGAAATACAATCAGTTAAACAGACTTTGGCATTCATTTAGTTGCTCAAGCGTAAAACGACATAAAATGCCGTTTACTCACACGCGCCTATCAGAATCGTCAGGCTAGCGCAGAAGCTCCATTGAATTTACAATAAAATAAATGTTCATATTATAAAGACATGGTGGGGGAAAATGTAATGTAAATGCTCACATATCAGGAATGTGTGTTGTGTTGGCAGACAGAAAGAAGCAAAGTCTGCATGTGTTTAGTGTTTTTCCTGATCGCAAACACAACAGCAGTCTGATTGTGATGCTTTTTTCGGGGTTAATTATTGTGAGATCTCGATTGCAACAGAGAAATACTGTAGACTGTAACACTGTAAGAAGATATCTTTGTAGACGGACAGCATTTCATTTCATGTTCAGCCTTATAATCTTAAAGTGTGAGCAAAATCAGCTGTTTTGTCATCACTTTAGATATTTTGCTATAGAGAGTCATTCAAATGGTAGCTCTAAAGTGACGTTGGTTAATTAGTAACGGTTTCTGCTGTTTAGACATCAGCTGTAAATGTGAATGAATGGCGGAAGTAGTTCCTAATTGTCACAGTGTAAAACCAAATACACTGTAACTAACAAACACACATCATCTTTGTAGTGTTATCTGTATTGTGCATGTGTGTTTGTGTAATGTGTATATGCTGTTTTTTTGTCAAGATTAGCATTGTGTTTATGTAAAAAAACTCACTTTTATGTCAAACAATAGCCCAATCATCTTCCCATTCACACTGAAATAACCACAGACACGTTTTCTTTTAAACATCATTTATTAACCAAACATAGAAAGTTTACATACACTTACCAGTTTCCATTTCTCAGCACCAAACCTGTTTACATTTCAAACAAAGTCATTTATACAGACTTTTCCCGCCTTCACTTCGGAGCAGCCAATTTTTGCATGACATCATCAGGGTCACGACCCCCTGGTCAGTTAATAAAAATGACAGTTTTGTTGTTTAAACTTGTATTGGTTATTTGTTGTGTTGTATTTTGAGTTTTGTATGCATATTCATTTACTTGCATTAATTTATACTTTTGTTAAATGTCTTTTAATGCAATTTTTTGTCTACATGTTAACCTACAACCCGTAAAATGGTTGAACCCATGGGCGGGGCCAATACTATAAAATGGCCCCAAACATTCTCTCTGTGTGGATAGTTGTAGGAGAAGGTTGTGTTGTCCGAGAGATTGTTTAACAGATTTTGTTCAGGTCCTAACTTTGATTTAGCCAAACAATCTTGTAAAATAGTTCGTAAATATTGTATAGTTTATTTTTCTTTATTGTTATTTTGTCACTTTCAACTTTTTGCTAGTGGTGGGCAAAGCGAGGCTTCGTGAAACACTGAATCAGTTGAAGCAAATGTGTTGAAGCTACAAAAAGTTTAGAAACCCCACTCTACGGTGACACCTAGTAGTCATTTTATTTGTATTGCACTGAAACAGCTTCAGCAAAGAACAGTTGAGCAAATTGAGGTATGAAACGCCAATTTGTGGCCTCGAACTTTCAAGTTGTTTAGTCGAGCGGTAAGAGTTTGTGACCACCATGCTGGGATAGTGGGTTCGCATTCAGAATGATATAAATATTTTGATATGCTTTTATACCAGTTGGTAATGCTTTGTTCTTGTATCGTTTTGTTTCAACTTTGCTCTGACATCCGAATAAACACCTTGTAAATAAATTTGTATTGTTTTGTTCATAAAATAGTGTTGTTGCTAAATCAGATACAGTTGTGGCCAGAAGTTAACATCAATTATTTATATGATTAATTAAATTTCCCCTTGTATTTTATTAACGTCATTCCAAAACCTAAACCCATCACTGTACTGTAAAAATATTAATTAATGTTTTACAGTGTTACAAAAATGATGCTAAATTGATGGCGTATCCGCAGCTGTATCGTATCTAGACTACACCATAAAACAGTAACATGATTAAAAAACATAAAATCATGGTTTTAGAGTATTTGTACTAGTCGGGATTCAAACCCAAAATTAATTTGAGATACCGTAACATTGAGCACACGCACGGTCCACTAGGCCATATGAGACAGACACCTAATTATGACCATGTCAGCCAAATGCAGATTCTCCAGGTCTCGAAACGCCTCTGAAATGATCAATGACTTGAATCGCTTTAGTCACGTGACCAAGTGTTTCGAAACCCTTTAGTCATGTGACCTGGGTGTTTCGGATCATGCTTCGGTGTTTTGAAACACTTTCACTTCGGGATCTCGCCACTGTGTTGAAACGTCAGTTTCCCGCCAGCCATCCCTACTTTTTGCTAGATTTTTGTCTTCACTTTCACCAGTGGCTTCTGTGACACTTTTTGCCTCCATCTACCCGGTCAATCGTAACACTAATAAAAAGGGGTTTTTAAACTCTCCGTGTTTGATTTTCTTATTTATATATACAATTGTGCCGTCAAACTGTTGTATAAATGCAATATCAAACTTGTAGCAGTGTGATATGGCTGTATATCAGCACTGGTGGGACGAAAAGGCACCAACGCACGCCTCCCACCAGTGCTGATATACAGCCATTACGCACTGTTACGAGTGTGATATTTGTCATATATATTACCCATTATTTTTCGTTTTTAGCCATTACATTTTTTGTATAAATTATTTATGATTTCCAATCCCTTCACACTGACTTTATATTGGCTCTTACATAATTAAGCTCTCTATTTAAAAAAAAAAAAACTCACAGCAATCATACAATAAATCACAGAAATCCAATAGCTGCCAAAACCGAGACTTTCCTTTAGAGCGATTTTGAGATCTTTTAGACGTGCGTAGTTAAACAATGACCTCTTTCATCAAGTGCCACATAATGAAGACCTTCTGACTGCAGGTTCTTGTAGTAAAAAGAGAATGTTGTCTTTTTCCCAGCAAGATGGACAGAAGCCAAAGCGGCATCTGATCGGTATTCACCCGGCGACCAAAGTGACATCAAAGACAAATGACTAATTCAGCGGCAACGATTGGTTATTGATGAGTCAGCTTTTGAAAGCGAGATGCAGCTGGACTGAAGGTGTGTGTCCGCCTTTCATCTGCACACCATCAGACATGCATTTTCATCCCAGTAAAAGCCAACACCCGGATCCTTTAGAGCACCATATACAAATGGAGGAATGATCAATGGCGGCACTAAAGAAGCATCATGTCATTTTCCCTTTCATTCAGAGATGTTTTTTCACTTTAAAGTCCACATGAACCGGAAGCTGCCACCCATTTTTCATAATGTGATGGAGTTCCTAGAGAAACGGAATACTAAATGAGAAATCAGTGGGCGTGGCTTGTTTTTTGCGACTGCGAGCTGATTGGATGTAGTAGAGTAGACATTTCATTCAGAAAAATCAGGAAAAGGGTACAGGGAGAGTTATTATAAACTAAA